GCTGCTGTCACTCCCAGAGACGTGGGACCCAAAGCAGCCGCCGGGAAAGCCTGCGGACCCGATACCCGCTGTGCCGCTCCCGGAGCCACTGCTTCCCAGAGAAGTCTGCAGACCCGCAGGGAGTGAGCGCACACTGCGCCCAGAGAGAGCGCAGTCACCCATACCTGTGCTTGTACAGCAAGCACTTTACTGACCGACCCATCTCCCCAGTCCCTACTATATGAATTTTACCATGATTTTCAAATATGATTTTTTACTTTCTTCTACCCTACCTTTCCGTGAAACCACCCCACACCTTTGTCTCTTTGAAGACGGCCCACTTCTCTCCTGTATGAAAAGGCCTGGGCCAGGTATAGAGTGACTAGAGGTGAAGGCAGGGGTGTGGGAGAGCTTGGGAAGAATTGGGACTCACCCTGTGCTTCTGGGGACATACCCATTCAGCACTCAGGGGAGGGCTGCTCCCTCCTCCCCAGCCTAACCCCAGAGCACAGGTGTCAGCAGTGGACTCCCCAGAGGCTGGCCAGGCAGGAAGCCCTGATGTCTCCTGGGTGGCATTTCCTGTGTACATTTTTAGGCCGATTCTCCACCGGTATGGCTCAAGGAAGGATCCAGAGCCAGATGACGGTTACCTGGCAGCTGCTGGAGTAGTGGTGAATGATCTTGGTCGTGATGGGGCTGTCCACGTGGGTGAGGAGCATCTGGGGGTGGCAGGAGGACGACCACAGCCATACATCATCATGAGGGCACGCTTCACAGTCTCCCGCCTCCAGGGGTGGTCCTTCTACACAGGAGTGAAAGGGGAGAAGGGGGCTGGGGAGATGGCTTAGTGCTTGCCACACGAGTTTGGATCCCCAGAACCCACATAGATGCCGAGTGGGAATGGCAGCCTGCCTGCAATTCCAGCCTCAGAAGATGGAGACAGACCACATTGACCAGACTAGCCGTATCAGTGAGCTCTGGGTTTGATTGAGAGACCCTGTCTCAATGAGTAAGGTAGAAGAATGATTGGGGATGATTCCCAGGGTCAACCTCAGGCTGCCACATGCACGCACACATGTACACATGTGCACCTGCATCCCTACAGTGTGCCCACAACCATGAAGCTATACACACACACACACACACACACACACACACAATGAACAATAAATAAAAAGAGAAGAACCACTGGGGGAGCAGGGGGTACACACACACACACACACACACACACACACACACACACACAAAATGAACAATAAATAAAAAGAACCACTGGGGGAGCAGGGGTTGCCCAGCTTGTCCGCAGGAGCAGGCACTGCCCTGGCTGTGTAGGACGGTCTTTGGCCCATGACTGAAGAAGCTGTCAAGTCGGCCTAAGGGCGTCAGCAGACTGTTCTCTATGTGCTGAAGCACTCATTCGTTTCTTCAAGCAACTTATTACTTAATTTGCAACCTTATTGGACGCTGATTACACACTAAGCACTGGGCAAGAAGTAGTGAGCCAGAGAGACCAGGGCCTACCTGCCCTGGGAAGCTTCGTCCAGTGACAGATGTCAGGACCACCCATGAGCTGTGGGACGAAGCTCATAGCAGAGACTAGTTACATGCTCCCTCATACTGGAGAAGCTGAGAAGAATCCATCTCACCCTGGGGTACTGGTTACGCATTGGGAAAACGCTACTAAAATCAGTTTAAAATCGGTGTCAATTATGAGTCTTAGATAAGCATACCTTCTGAAATTCATTTTTCTGTCAAGAAGCAAGCACATTGGAGGATGGGCAATTGAACTCCCTAGTTAGCCACGGTTGGATTATCCCTTGTTACTCCGGCTGCCTTGAGCAAAGGGGCTGTCCGTCAAGCCAGCAGCTGGACCTTCACCTGCACTGGGCATCGTGAATGCTCTTGAGGAAGCTACATGAACATCAAGGCTATTCCAGCTCCCAGGCCCAGGCCCCCACTGTGAAGGATAGAAGCAGCCGGCTCCAGACTTTCCCTGCAATCCCTTCCATCCTGACCCAAGGGGGACACTTCCCCTGGTGGCTCAGCAGAGGCAGAGAGATGGCTGTGACTGGTATAAACATGAGCCTTCGTTTGCATGAAGGGCTTGGTGCAAACACCCCTCTCCTGGCTGTGGAAGTGGCTACTCAGCTCACTGTGGTGAGTCACCTTTAGGTGCTGCCTCCCCTCCCCAGTGCTCCAGTTAGGTCAATGGAAGGCTTTTTTCAAGTGGCCTTTACTTGTCTGCTCTTGGTACAGCAGGCTGAGCTGGTAACACAAAGTGGTGTCAGGAGACAGGAGCAATAGCGGTGACAGAGCTGCAGGAGCCGCAGGGCAGCCTTGACAGTGGCAGAGGCAGATCCACAGCAGAGCAGCAGCACCCTCCCCTCCCCAGTGCTCCAGTTAGGTCAATGGAAGGCTTTTTTCAAGTGGCCTTTACTTGTCTGCTCTTGGTACAGCAGGCTGAGCTGGTAACACAAAGTGGTGTCAGGAGACAGGAGCAATAGCGGTGACAGAGCTGCAGGAGCCGCAGGGCAGCCTTGACAGTGGCAGAGGCAGATCCACAGCACAGCAGCAGCAGCAGCAAGCCGCGTGACAGCAAGGACAGGCAGGACCACAGCAGCCCCAGGGCTCAGACACCTTGGCATCCAAGGTGGGAAAGTTGAGACACTAGAGGGTGCCACCTGCCGCTGCTCTCTGTTGTCAAACACCAAGGACCACACAAACTGCCAAAGACCAGCCCTGGGAAGAGCTCCCCTCTACCCACAGTTTCTATCCCCAGTAGCACAAAAGGGTCCCAGCCAGCTAACTGTTAACAATACCTTCACCCATTGGACATCTATTCAAGGCCAAGTGCTCCCGAGCTTGGGGGGATCAAGTGAGAGCTGAAAGCTCTGGCCCCGCTTTCCTGCTGCTTAAGTGCTGTGAATGACATTCTAAGTGGGACGCAGTGTTGAAGGCCACCCCTCTTGGACAGTCATCAGGGTCACCCATACACTGCAGAGCCTTGGGTTGAAATCTAGGTCTCAGGTTTTACCGTGTGAAGACAGTCTCTGTCTTCTCCATCAGAACAATCAGACCCCAGGGTAAGAGTCCAAGGCCAGGGCCAAACCCGGAGGCATTGATGACTCTACCTGGTTTTTTCCTTCTGAGAGCCCAGCCAGTCCTCAGGACCATCCCCTAGAGCAAAGTGGGGGTGGGGGGAGATGGGTGGAGGGGGTGGCAGTCTGACTTCAAACCCTGACTTTCCCTGCTGACCAGGCCATGTCAGGGAAACCAAGACAAACTTTCCCATCCTCTCCTATAGAAGTGGGAATATTGTCCCTCTGTCCTAGCACCAGAGACTCACTGAGGCTGAGCTTGCCACTTGGGGGCACCTACCCAACATCTTTAGCTCTGCAAGGCTATACCAAACCAGGCTCTGCACCTCGGAAACCTCTACTATTAGCCAAAGGAACTCAGCATGAATGTTCAAAGGCTAAGACTGGCAATATCTGAGTCTTGGAAAGGGCCATCAGATGATCTGACAGCAAATGCCCTGTGGCGAAAGCCTCGACCCTCAGACAGACACAAAGGCGGGCGTATGTTTTCCTCGGCACCTAGGAGTGCCAGGAGCTGTGCATTCGGGGTCCGAGACCTACTGGGCAGCGAGGGTCCTTACCCTCCAGGTGCCAATCTGCCAGGACTGCTCTGACTCCTGGATCTTCTCTTCAAAGTCCTGGAGCACGTTCAGCACGGCCTTCACCTGGCTCCGGGCACACAGGCCAAAGCACAGGATCACGCCCTTCAGGGGAGCCCGGCCAGGATGAGGGCAGGGGCACACAGGGACACACGGGCACAGGCATGGAGGCACATGAACATGCATTCTCCGTGGAGGGCGGGGGGGGGGGGCTCGGGTGCCTCACCTCCCGGTCAAAGTCCTTGCTGTAGTCGGTCTTGTAGAGCAGCTCCAGCAGCAGCACCTCCACCCTGTAGGTCTGCAGGCTCCTGCCTAAGGTGAAGCCCAAGGCCCTGTACAGAAAGCCCTGGAGAGGCAGGACGGGAGCAGCTCACGCCCTCTACTCCCAGACTCCAGGTGGCCCGCTGCTGGGTAGCGCTCGCCACACAGTCCTGCGGGCTTTTACTTAATGCGCAAATATCTACGCATTTCCTATATCCTTTAAAATAAATACACAGGTTGTTCAGGGAGGTCAGACTACATTTGGACAGGTCCATTATACATTTTAACAGTGGAGGCCAAGTCCTCTCCTACACAGATTGAACCAGTATGTTCCCACCCACACACCTAGCAGTTTTTCCAGCTAATCCCTGACATAGGGCCGTGCTGTCAAGAGGGGGAAATCCATGTTTTGATATTTGATTATTAATATTATTCATGTTAACTATTTTTCTGCATTCTCATGAGCCATTTTACTTCCTTGAATTCTTGCTTATCGCTTCTCCAGGCCGTGAATAGGTCGGTGTAGAATTGCTAGGTCACGCAGTAAGTATATTTTTAACGTTTTGGAGCGTATTAAACCATTTTCAAAGCAGCTACATTCTTTCGGATCCCTGCCAGTGGAGCCCACTGCCCTGTTTGGACTCTGCAGGGAGCATGCTTGACTACAAGCACAGTCACCAGTAGCCTTAGAGCGGCTATGAGGGCAGAGCAGATAGGGCGTTTGCAGACCAGGTCCTGAACTGCAGTGTCCTTATGTTTACATAAAACAAAACAGAAACTGTGCCTCACTGACACTATTGTGTGAATATTGGCTCTCTGTCTTGCAGACAGGCCACACGCTGCTAATTGCTTCCTGACTCCTGTAAAGAAATCTCTTTTGATTTGTTTACCCTTTGTTCCTGAATGCGTGCTTGGAGCACTCCATTCCAGTGAATAAAATCTGTCTCTTTTTTTCCTTTTTCTTTTTTGAGACAGGGCCTCCATAGCCCCAGCTGTCCTGGAACTCACTATATAGACCAGGCTGGCCTTGAACTCACAGAGAGCCACCTGCCTCCTGGGACTACAGGCGTGCGCCACCACGCCAGCTTGGCACTGTCATTTCTATTGCAGATATCCTAGGAGCGTGGAGTGCTTTTCCACTGTGGTGTCGAGTTCATTCCCTTTGATAATGATCTTGAACATTTGTTTTCATGCACTTACTGTCCATTTGTGTAGCAACTTTGAAGAAAAGCGTTTAGCTGGTTTGCCTATTTTATTTCTATTTTATATTTTTTGGTCTTTTTGGAGACAGGGCTCCCCATAGCCCCAGCTGTTCTGGAGCTCACTATGTAGACCAGCTGGACTTGAACTCACAGAGATCCACCTGTCTGTGCCTCCCGAGCGCTGGGACTAAAGGCATGCGCCACCATGCCTGGTGCTTTGCCTGTTTTTAATTGGCTTGCCTTTTCTGTGAGTTCCAGTTTGTACATGTGCACATGTGTGGACACTTCCTTATGAAACATACTGTTTTATTCCATTCCATGGTGGTCATTTCCGTTTCTTCATGGTATTACTTTAAGCACATATTTTAAGTACAAGAGACACATTTTCATGATATTCAAGTTGTGTTTCTCCCCTCATTTGCACTTGTGAATGTTGTATCTCAGAGAGATTTGCCTAATCCGAGGTCATGAAGTCTTATATTTTACACTTCCGGCTCTTAATCTTGGGTCTGTTTCTGTTTTGATTCAGTGTGACAAAGCCCAGTTTCACTTTTTTGGATGTGGCCATGCAGTTGTTATAGCACTATTTATTGAAAAGATTATTCTATTCCCCATTGAATTGTCTTTGAAAATCAGTTAATGCGACGGACCAGCCCAGACAGGAGCACTCAGTCCGACGGGAACAGGGAATCGGAGAGTGGGCAAGGATTCGGCGAGTGACAAACAGACACAACACAAGAGATGGTTGATGATCTGAATGTAATTTTCTAAAGTGGAGCATCAGATTTTATACAAGTTACAGAACAAGATTGTGCAAGCATCAGGTTGATTTCATGGTTAATCATTTTCTTAGAAATACAATTCAAAATCAGAGCAATACAGTACAGTGTAGCGTGTTCTTATCTAATTAATCAGGTGCTTAGACTATTTGTCCTTTTCCCTTAGTGGTTTGGCAACATCAGCTACTTATAAATTTCATGGTTGGTAATTTTATGGTTCCGTTTTCTCAATTTTGAGGTTTCGGTGGCCGAGGCCAATGACTAGGTCAGTGAAGTTGTGAAATAGCATCTTCCTTATAACTCTATATAACTTTAAAGGCTTGCTTTTCTAATTTATTTTTATACTTTTTATGTTTTTAATATTTCCTGTAATTGTTTAAATATAGTTTGCTGCTGACTTTTAGTTAAAAGGCACCAAGGTGGTCTGGATCTAGCTAACCCATCCATAAACTGTAGTGAATACCATGAAACTTTCCTTCCTTGAATATTTACCCATCTATTATTTCTTTCATAAACTCCTGTATGAGGAAGTGGTTCATCAGTGGGCTCGAGGATTCTAAATATGCTCTCTTTTCCCTTAAGGGGATGCCATAGCCTACCTCCCCCTTAGCTCGCAGGCAGTTCCAAAGTCTGTCTTAACTGTAGGCAGCAATCTTCTTTTAGTATCCCTTTGATCTCCTTGAGTCAACTCTAGGGACTGAAGCAGGGGGATTATTTACAAATAATTCTTCTTGCTGTAACTTATCTAGAATTTTCCAAGGTTGCCTATTCTTAGCTACTTTACTTATTGTTTGAGCATTTGGAGGAAGTCTAATATCGGGAAACTGAGTTCCCAGGAAATCATCCGTATCTAGTCTCTCTTAAGGTGGGCCTGATGACCTGAGTAGGTACAAAGCAGTTCCTCTATGAGGAAAGAACAGGAATGAAGACAGCAATGAAGACAAGAACTAAAGCAGAACAGCCAAGGACACAGCATGCTTTTTAACACAGCCATCTCCAGGAGGCATTCTTCCTTTGAAGTCTTCTCAGCCTCGACCCACGGAGAGAACCTCACGGGGCTCCACTGGAGGTGGCGTGGCAAGTTTACCTGTATGATCTAACATCGTGAGGTTCGCCTCTCCCTGGAGCCCCCCCCCCAACTACCTTGTTCCTATAGGGACAAACCTTTTCCAAAGAAGGGCTGTGGAAGGTCTCAACCTGGTTGTTCAGCTCTCTGCTCAGGCGCAGGCTCCAGCTGGTCCCACAGGTCTTCTTGAGGGAGTTTCTCAGGAACTGAGAAGATGACTTTGGTGGGCAGAGTCAAGGAACCCCAGGCTTGTTCTCACTGGGCTCTGGGAAGATGGTGTGGCCCTCAATAGGGGCTTGCTCTTTCCAGCCTCCCTTTTCTAGATCGCTAAAGCTTTCAGTCCATGGATCCCCAGCCCAGCACTGACATCCCGTGTGTCTGGGGAATGGCTGTGACTTCAGAGACTGTGCTGGGAGGGGGTGCTCTCTGCTCCTTTTCCAGGTGCTTGGCTCTCTCAGTTCTCCCTTCCTGATACATACAGATATAGGCTTCATAGGTTCCAAGTCTGCTCTGAGAGAAGGGAAACATGGCTTCTACGTGATCCTAGACCCTCCACATGCCACCCCCCATCAAATGCCCTCCCATTCATCCCTTCTTCTTTCCCTCATCCTGGCCTCACCTGAATTAACTTGTCCTCCCAGGTCTTCTGGTTCCACGTAAATTCAGTGTGGTCTGTAGGAGCGCAACGGGTCTCAAGGGCTGCCCTCTTCTGCTGCCCCCAACTGGGTCAGCCTCCTCATCCCAGTGTCTGAGGCCCTCCGTGAATGAACTCATCACATGAACACATCCCTTCCCACCTCCCCCAGCTACACAGCCAGTTCTCAAGACCAAAGGAGGCTGTGCAGGTCTACCAGATCCCAGGTTCCTGCTGGTCAGTCCACATGACTAGTGCCCTCCCAGGCACTCGGAGGGGACAGCTCACCTTCCAGGTACTGGACCAACAGCGGGATCTCTATCTCCCACATGTCGGCCATGGAGGGGCAATGCTCTGGCTCAGGGTCCTCAGGAGGTTGAGCATGGCTATCCCACGACCCTCTCCTTTGCAGAGTGATGACATCAACACCTGGAGGGCTCCAGTAAGTCGGTGGAGCAAGGGCCAGGCACCTTACTGCACATGTGGGAGCTCACAGCCCCCATTGTAAAGAGGCAGTCGGGCAGAGTGGGTGGTTTTAAAACAGAGCCTGAGGAGCTGCATGACAGAGAGGCCCCTGTAGAGGACACTGCAGGAGGGAGTGGGATGAGAGACCAGGCCCAAGTTCCTTCTCTACTTTGAGAGTCAGTGGGGCTTGGATTAGTGTCCACAGGACTGAGCTCATCTGGAGGCAGGCAGGCCATGGGGCGGGGAGGGGGGCTGTCCTGAGGATGCTGTGGACATGGGAGAGCAGATTCAGGTCGGTCCCAGACATCTGAGCACACTGCCTCTGATTTTTCTTCCCAAGAGAGACAAGTGGGACCCGGGATACCATTCTGCCCGATATCCAGTTCCTTCTTGGCACCTTGGCTCCCTCTTAGTTCTGGGGATCTGAGAATGGAAAACTCAAGGTTGCATCAGGCCAGAGCAGGATAAGCCACTCACCAGGAGACGGGCCAGTAGCTTCTGGGGTGCAGGCAGGTCTACTGAGGAAGGAAATGTAACCCAGGCTGAGGCTGCCTAACCCATGGCAGGACACCCCCATGTCCCCCAAGGGGACTTTAACCTTGGAAGGAGCGTCCCCTGCATGACCCCATTGCCCCCACCCCAAATGAAGACTGTACATGCCCAGGAGCTTTTCCTATGAAGACCAGCACTGACTTCTTCCTGGAAGAGGGGAGAGTCCTGTTAACAGGGGGGTTTAGATGTCTGTTCAGGCCGTGTAGGCCCTTTCCTGGTGGGCCAGGACAATGTCCTGTCTCCTACTGCGTGTCTCAGTCTCTCTTTATCTAACAGTAATTAGAATCCCTACCCCAGATACCCCCTGGTCCTTCTCTACAGGTGCTGGGAGCCAGTGAGTCCTGAAAACCGAAGCCACTGTGTGCAGATGGACTGGGGAGGGGCCTGGCCTGCTAAGACCCTGCTGCTGTGGGAACCCAGGAGAGGACTTGGCCCTTGAGTGGGAAATGAGAGGCCTCAGGAAGGGATTGTCTAGGTTTCTCAGATTGAACTAGGGCCCTGCCTTTTGCCAACCTTGGATCCAAAAGGTTCCCCCTAAATTACCCCAACCAGTCACACCCACCCTGTGAAGCCCCAGGACCATTAAAGCAGCCTGATTGAGACCAGATGTGGTTGTGATGGGGGCAGAGCAGTGACTGTAGTAGGTGGGCATGGTCACTTAGAGCCTGCTGTTGACAGTGCCCTCCCCAGGTGGATCACGGTAGAGACGCTTCACAGAACTGATCAGGATGTTATAGCTCTTCTAGCTGGCTCAGAGAGGCTAGAGCAAGCAGAGACTGGTTCAGGAGCACCCCCACCCCAGGGTGAGGGCTAGAGAGATGGGGACACAATGAAGAAAGTCTGCAGGGTTTTAACTCCTCCTCAGATATGGCAGGAAGGATACTAGATGCTTCCTGGAGAAGGGGAAAGTAGATTGGTTGCAGCACGGTGGAGAGGGTGGCAAGGAACCAGTCTACCCTCCCAGCCCCACCAGCTGACAAGGGGTGATGCCCACCATGCTTGCTCTTGCCGGCCATGCCAGCCTCTGTGTCCTTGCCATGGATCTGGTTCTCTGCCAGGTTTGTGAGGCTGATGCAGATTGGGGTCAAGGCCTCTGTATAGTCTGTCTCCATGATATAACACAGGAGCCTCACCCAGAACTCCTGGAGTCGGGATAGGGAAAGGAGGACCCAGGGTTAGCTGGAGGTAGCCCATGGTCACCCACGATCGGTCAGGCTTCAGCCACAGTGTGAGCCCCACCCAGGAGCTGTCCTGAAGGCTTACAGGCTCAGCCCTCCACTGATTCTCCTGCTCACATTGGACTTGGTGAGAGGCATCTAAGCAGCATCCACACAGCTGACCTGGCATGCACTCTGCCCAAATCCCATCCTTGCTAGCCTCATACAAGCCCTATACCTACTACACCCTTTGCTTAGAGCCCTCATCTAGATCCTCAATCATCTGAAGATGCAAACTAGACAGGTGACCTAACTATGCTCCAATTGCAATGATCAGACTTATTTGGCTGGGCAAGAGTACCCACTTATGCAACCAAATACAAATCCAGTATTTTGTGAACATGTCATATATCTTTGATAAAAGTATGAAATCTGTGAAGAAGCCTTCCCTTGAATGCAGGCAGGAGAAAGGGCTTAAGAGAAGAATACTTCAGCAAAGGGAATCCAACCACAACACTACAGCTTTCCCTTCTGCCCACATCTCCAGCCTTGAGCCTCCAGCCTGAATCTCCAGCCTTCAGGCTCCAGCTTCCAGCCTACAGTCTCTCACCTGCACCTGCAGCCTGCAGCCTCTAGTCAACAACATCCATCCTGCATCTCCAGCCTGCATCTCCAGCCCCCAGCCCCCAGCCTGCATCTCCAGCCCGCAGCCTCCAGCCCACAGCCTCCAGCCTGCATCTCCAGCCCACAGCCTCCAGCCTGCATCTCCAGCCCGCAGCCTCCAGCCTGCCCTGCACCCTTCCCACTTGTCAGCTTGGCCATAGACTGTGTCTCTAAAAGGAATGAGACTAGAGAGGTTTCCCACTGGACCTGTGTCTCTAGAGAATCGTTACTAGTAAAGTTCTTGGCTTATCTTTCCTTGGAGGACCAATACTCCTAACTAATGCGGAGCTCCCTCACTTACCCCAACCCCAGAGTTTAGTGTAAAGCCCTTGCACTAGCAACATCAACTACAGTGGGTAGACCTATTCTAACTGCCAGGACTAGAGTCTCCCAGCTCCAGGAGAGGCAGCATGGTGAATTAGAAAAGGCATTTTAATTCTGGCTCTACTGTTTACCAGCTGTGAGGTCTTGAACAAATTAATGAGTCCCTCAGAGCCCAAGTTTCATTAGCTGCAAAATCAAGGTCATAAAATAAGAGAAGCTACTTTGTAATTAATTGAGATCATACATGCCACATATATATGGAGTGCCTGCTACATGCAGGTCCTGCATGGACCCTTACCCTTATTATTTCTGCAATCAAAGTGAGCTGCCACTAGACCAGAAGCATCTTGCCTAAGGCTTTATGAGTAGACGGTCACTCCTTCCCTTCTTGATGCTGTCGTGATCACTTATTTTTCCAACCTTAATGCTATGTCACGTTTATAAAAGTCATATTTAGGGGGCTGGAGAGATGGCTCAGTGGTTAAGAGCACTGACTACTCTTGCAGAGGACCAAGGTTAAATTTCCAGCACCCTCATGGCAGCTAACAACCATCCATAACTCCAGTTCCAGGGGATCCAATACCTTCTTCTGACCTCCTAGGGCACTGCATGACACAGGTGCACTTACACACATGTAGGCAATACACTCATACACACAAAATAAAAACAATAAAATAAAAAATAAAAGTCAATACATTTGTTTCCCCCTCAGGCAATAAGGCAAGTGATCTGTAGTGAGACCTACTGTGTGCCAGGCACTGCTCTAGTCACTATGGGTTCAAAGAGGGAGAATTCGTTCCCATTAAGAACCTGACTCTGGCTGGATTGTGTCTGGAGGAACAAGAGCTCAGGAAAGAGGAAGAGGTCCCTTCAGTACCCCAGGCAGTGGGGATGGGCGAAGGGAAAGTACAGGACTCTGAGCATGCTCAGTTCCTCTGCCAGCCTTCAGAATGCAGCCGGGACCCACTGGTTCTGCTGTGTTGGCCCACTGGGTGGGGAGGGAACTCACATTGGTCATGCCGCTGAGAGAGGAAGTTATGATCTTCACAGTATTAATGGTGACTTTGTAGACCATTTTCTCCTCCAAGTCCCTCTGATAAAAGCACTCCCGATGATTTGTCTGGAAGACAGAACAAGGCATCTCTGCAGGCTGGAGCTTGCCCTGGTCTCAAGGGTAGTTAGTCTCTTTGCTCCACAGGGGCCCCTGGCCAGACACTGGGTCCCAGGGTGCTCAGGCTGTGACTGGGCCTCCTGCACATGTCTGGTCCACACCTGCAGGTTCACTACAGGTCTACACAGATCTAAACAGGGGTCACTCACCAGCTTATAAGTGGATAAGGTCAGCTGCGTGGACACATATTTCAGACCCAGTCTTTGATCTTTTCCTGGAAGCCGGACTGAACCAGCTGGCCAATGATGCACAAAACTGCCATCCTTACCTGCAAGGCAGGGTGGGTACAGCTGGGGCGGGCCAAACTCTAGCATAGGGCTTTGCATCTAACACCCAAACCTGTGGTATGAGACACCCAGGAACTGGGGATGCTCTGGGCTGGAAGGGGTTTCAGGGTCAACCTGGTTACTGTTTTTGCCTCATCTGGGGATCTTGGTCGTCCTATGCCCACATGGGGACCTCAGTTGTGTCATTCAGAGCCACCCCCCATGCCATTCTAACACTCAGTCTTAGGAGACTTGCTGGGGCACCATCCCTGATATTTACATGGCGAGACTCACTGTGGTGGGGGTTGGTGGTCACAAAACCAGTCATTGTTATCCTGTCTAGGTGGCTTCTGGGGTTTGAAGACAGCTTTGTCTAAATCTCCAGTACTATCCTCCCACCCTCCACAAACCCTGCCCCATGTTCCTCAAAGCCATCTCCCTCCCTGGCATCCCTTTCCTAGCTAGATGCATTCCAAGTTTGCTGTGGCTGCCTTGGAGCCCCTGACTGTGGTATTCTGCTGGTTGGGAGGGAGCGGGTGTGTCTCCCAGTGGCTTTTCTCCAAAGCAGCAGACACTATACAAACTGCACAGCCAGTGGCCTTTTCTCCCTCCAAAATGGAGTCCGGGCACAATACTTGAAAACCCCAGGTCTAGGAGAGGAGTGTCTGTGTGGCAGAGCCACAGCTCACTGGCTTCACTCTCCCCAGACCCTACTCCGGACTGGGCTGAGGCCAGCTATTCCATCTGAGCCCTCCACCCCTCAGCTCCAGCTGCCCTGGAAGGGTCCCCCTCCTGTTACCTTGGGCCGGGTATCAGAAAGGGTGTTCCTGACAACCCGGATAGCCAGGTATATTGTCTTCATGTTCATTTTGGGATCTGAAAGAAGACGATCAGCCTGGGGGACAATGGCTCAGAAACACAAGGTGGCTCGTCCCTGTCACCTCACGGTAGGGCCTCTCTAACAGCCCACAAGCTTTGTGTCACTTCCTTGGGGGTCCTTAATGGCCACGAGCTCCCTGGGCACACACAATCCTTTCCTTTCAGTATCAACAGTAGCACCTTGCTCTGAGACCCAGGGGGTATCTCTCTCTCTCTCTCTCTCTCTCTCTCTCTCTCTCTCTGTGTGTGTGTGTGTGTGTGTGTGTGTGTGTGTGTGTGTATGTACAGGTGCATGTATCTATGTATGCATTTGCAGAAGACAGAAATCAACAAATCAACATCAGGGGTCTTCCTCTACCACTCTCCACCTTATTTCTTGAGACAGGGTCTTCCATCAATTCAGCTAAGCTGGTTGGCCAACAAGCTCCAGGGATCTACCTGTTTCCATGTCTCCCCCTCCCCCCATGTTGGGGAGCACCTATTATAAACATGGGTGCTAGGGATTTGAACTCAGATATTCATGCTTGCACAAGGACCTTACCCACTGAGCTATCCCCCCAGTCTCCATCTAGGCTATTTCTAATGTTTTGCTTTTAGTATAATGTTTTAATGAATATCTTGATCTAATTATCTTTGGGTAATTACTGCCTTGGGCTAACTGTCAAAAAGTCAGACGGTTGTGCCCGAGACTTGGTCCCTATCCAACTGAGCACCCAGTTTGAACCCATCAGTCAACAGTAAGGAGCTGGTTTCTTGTGTCCTCGGGCAAAGATTAAGCAAAGAATAGCTAACCGGCTAAATCCAACCCCCAAACGGTTTTCACAAATAAAGTTTTATTGAACATAGTCAAACTTAGAGATCTACAGCTGCTTTTGCTGTATACAGCTGTCCAAGAAACTGTATGGGTCACAAAACTAAAAATAAGCTGTTTGACCTTTTGCCAAAAACAAATGCTGAGACAGTTCTAGATGGTGTTTTTATCACCTCCATCCAACAGAGGCAAAAAAGATCTCACTTCACTTTAAAAGGGACGTTTGAAGTCGGTGGAAGGCCCCAATTCTCCCACTGGGCAAAGGCAGGCCCTTTTCAAGTTGCCCTTTGATGCCAAGGCCAGGCTTAGAGTTAGGGCATAGAGATCAGAGTCGGAGACTGAGGGTACACTGTGGGCTTTAGGGTTATGCCTGCACGATCTGGTTCGGCCTCAGATCCAGGCTGACTTGAAAGTCGGACACAGAGGGTGGGGGTGGGGCGGAAGCCACAGTGCGCCGTAGGTTTAAGATTATAAAACATGACGCAATCAAGGCACTCACTGGGGACTGCAAAACTAGGACAGGAAGCAGTGGCTCGGATACAAGTGGAGCCCCCTCCCCCACCCTGCCCAGGGTGCCGGTCCACCCCACCCAGCTCACCATCCGCGCTCACCACTGCCCTGATCAGGGACAGCGTCCCCAAACAGACGGCCTCCCTGCTCATCTCCACCTGGCTGAAGGAGTTCATCAGCTCCTTGGGGTAGGAACGGGCTGCAGGGTGGAAGGAGCACATCAGTGTTAGCCGCTGGGCTAGGGACCGCCCAGTTCCTGCAGCGGGTCTCCCTGGAAGACCTCACCCGGGGCTATGAAGCACTGCAGGATCTCCGCCAAGTTCTGGCTGCTGAACTGGTGCTAGGGGGGCGGGGGCCTTGTTGCACACCTGGGAAGAGGCCGTGAGGGAGGGTGAGGGACGGGGCAGAGGACGGGCCCCAGAGGCAGTCCAGCCCTTGTGCCTGAGCTCAGGTGGGATGCAAGGGGGAGGGGCAGGCCGCATCCTGAGGGCTTCTTGCCGACCCTCCCTGAGGCGGCCCTTGTTGACCTCACCTGGACATACAGTTCTGTGAAAATGGGATGTAGCAGCACTGGGGGAATGGGAGTGTTGGTGGTGACTGACACTTCCAGAATCCGCCTCAAGACCTGCAAAAGGGATGCTTTCAGGTGGCAACCACTCTAGTTCCTTGCTACTCAGCAGGCCATTGAGTGGTACAGCACCCCTCACTGGCCAACACACACACACACACACACACACACACACATACACACACACATACACACACATACACACACATACACACACACATATACACACACATACATACACATATACACACATACATGCACACACATACATACACACATACATACATACACATACATACACACACATACACACATATACACACATACATGCACACACATACATATACACACACATGGAAATAAAAAAGGGAATGGAATATGCACGATATGTGGGACACAAGAAAGACACATAACAAACCACAGAAACAACAACTGCAACAAAACAAACAGAAACAAAAAGTCATGTGTGGCAGGACATGCTTGGAACCCCAGGATCAGAGACTTGGGGACATGGGGATCACTGAGGCTTGCTGGTCAGCCAGCCTACCTGACAAATAGCTCCAAGTTCGTCCTCCTCTGGCCTCCACATACATGTATGGGTGCACATACATACATGCACACACATACATATACACACATACATACATACACACATACATACATGCATACACATACATACACACACATATACACACATACATATATACACACACATACACAACATACACACACATACATACACACATATACACACATACATGCACACACATACATATACACACATACATACACACATACACATATACATACACACATACACACATATACACATATACATACACACATGAATACACATACATACACACACGTACACACATACACACATGCATATACATACATACATACACAGACACATACACACACATACATACACACACACACACACACACACACATACACACATATACACACATACACACACATACATGCACACACATACATATACACACATACATACACACATACACACACACACACACACAACCAGATGACTAGATGTACTGGCTCAGGTACCACCACTTAGTCTGAACCCAACCCTACATTCCCATCAGCGCTGGCTGGTTCCTGTGCACAATAAACTTGGAAAGTGCCACTGAGAAGGCATTCAAGGCCTTTTCTACCTCTCCTGTTCACTTAGAGGTGAAACTAAGTGAATCTAAGTCTAGTCCTCGTCCACGTCCACAGTGACCTACAGGTGGTTCTCTAGATGGGTCTTCTTGCTTTTATAACAAAGGTGCTTGCTCCTTTGCTATGTGTATCAGCCCAAGTCAGGCCTCCACTCAGTACCTGCAAAGCTTCTGCCTCACAAGTGTTAGAGGCCGCAGAGGCTCCAAAGTCAATTCCACCTGAAGCTTCAGACTACGACCTTACTTAGAAATAATGTCTGTGGGGCTGGAGAGATGGCTCAGAAGTTAAGAGCACTGGCTCTTCTTGCAGAAGACCCAGGTTTGAATTCCACCACCCACATGGCGGCTAAAAGCCATCCATAGTTCCAGTTGCAGGGATTCAACAGCCCCTTCTGTCCTGCACAGGTATTGCATGACCTGGGTACACTTACATATATGCAGGCAATACACTCATACACATAAAATAAAAATTATAAATAAAATATTAAAAGAGAAATGTCTCCTTAGGTTTAATTAGCCAAAGTCTGAAGAACCTGGTTCTGGGCGCTTCAAAAATTTTAAATTTTGTGTGTGTGTGCACGTGCACGTAACTACAGTGTTCACAGAAGACAGAAAAGACCTTCAGATCCCCCAGAACTGGAGTTACAGGTGGTTGTGAGGCATCCAGCATGGGTGCTGGGAACTGAACTCTGGTCCTCTGTCCTCTGCAAGAGTAGTAAGACCTCTCGACCTTTGAGCCATCTCTCCATCCCTAAACCTATGGTTCTTAGTCACAGTATCCATAAGACTCTAACATAATAGCCATGGCCTGCCTGTGGCCTCCCAGACCTTTTGAGATCTGGTTCTTCTACTTGGAACAACAGCTTACATCCCACAGACCCACAGTGCCAGGCTACCCAGCCAATATAGGCCACAGCTGTTGGACCTGCTGATACCCCTTGAATGTTTAAAGACTCTGGTTTCCTGAGCCTGGTCCTCACCTGTGTGATGAAGAGGGCCTCCAGGCCACCCTGGAACTCAGCCAGCAACAGGGGGATGTAGTCATAGACCTGTTCCCGCAGGTCATCATTGGGCAAGAGGAGGCTCAGCATTGGCCTTAGGGACTTGATGACCCCCAGCTTTACCTGCACAGGAAATGGGGTCCCAGAGCCCCAGCAGGGCCAGGATATTAGTCCCTACAAATAATCCGTGGTCATATACACAGAGATGTTAGAGAAACTCCAGGCCATGCCCTAAGGACCCACGGTTGGAGCAGTGTGCCCATTGTACACAGTGGGAGCCCCACCCGTGAGTCAGGTGATCTGTGGCAGGTGTTTAACTTCTTGTAGCTCAACTTCCTTGTTTGTAAGTTTGTCCTGCATCCCAGAGTTGGCATGGAAACAGCTTCTATACACAGAGTCCTAGACTCTCCAGGGCCCCAGGAATGAGGCTGGGCCAAGTGGCCCCTCAGCATCTTCTGACCCTGGTCTGGGGAATGTGTCCAGGAGAATCCAAGAAGGACATGTCTCACCTCAGGGTTTTGGTGCTGCAGCTACACAGTCACAAAGTAGCACAAAGTAGTCCTCCGTCATCACGGGATACAGGCTGTCCTCCAGGTGTCTCAGGTAAAGCTGCACCATCTCACAGAAAGTCTCCATGGCTGCCAGCAGCACAAGTGCATAGGGCCAAGGGGCCTGAAGTAGGGCCCCTCCTCCCTCGCCCACACACTCCGGGCTGCCAAGACCCCCTCCTCTCTGCTCTGTGAGCCCCTCACAGCTCCCTGATTCTGCATGTCCATGTAAACGTTGAGCACACGTGTGTCCAGGCCTTCCCTCTTAGGGATGCAGGGTCAAAGTGGGGCCCGGAATGATTCTCTGCCCACAACGTGGGGATCCCAGGAGGGGCAGCAGAGACACACATGACCCTCTTTCTCAGGCATTAGGAGTTTTTTTGGCCCACACTAGTGTTAAACACCGAATCACAGCCTCTAAGGTCTCTGAACCAAGCCCCAAAGGGAAATCTGTTCCCGCCCTCTCTTTCCTACAAATGTCCTTCACCCTTCTCTGAAATGCTTAAGTACAGAGCAAGCTTCGCAGAAGCACACAGCGATGGCCGCGGTCTAGAAGGTGCCCACATGCCTCAGCCACCTGCCCCCAAAGGAGCAGATCACAGGCTAAACAAAGAGACTGAGCAACCACTCTGTGGGGGCGGCGCTGGGGTGGGAACCCACATACCTGTCATTCAACAATCCCCCTTCCTGCTCCTTACCCTGTCACCTGCCCCCAAAGGAGCAGATCACAGGCTAAACAAAGAGACTGAGCAACCGCTCTGTGGGGGCGGCGCTGGGGTGGGAACCCACATACCTGTCCTCAACAATCCCCCTTCCTGCTCCTTACCCTGCGTTCTCCCTCCAGCACCCTGAGCAAGTCAGACCCACAGGCCCAAAGTGGAACACGCACCACTACAGATCACCTGGCGCATCTTGGCTTCGTTGGCAAGTCTCAGCATCATGAATATGGTAGCCAGGGTGATGCCCATATATGGCACGAACTCAAACACTGTAAGGCGTTGAGAGGCCACAGGGCATCAGGGATGGGGTGAGATGGGAGAAGGCAGAGAGGATGACCCTACCATCTACCACCTACAGTCCACCAGAAAACCCTTCCTGGGAACACAGTGAACAGGGTAACGTTAGTGAAAAGAGTGAAAAAGAGTGAGCTAGAAACAGAACGGGAAAAGGAGGATGTGCAGAAGAACAGGAGGAAGAGGGCACAGAGAGCCACAGGGCAGGGCAGGGCGGGGGTAGAAAGGAAGGGAGACTCCAGGCTGGCAGCACGCGGGGCAGCCATCTGCTCCTGAAGGCTCTCGGTGTTCTTGGATGGATCGTGGTAGATGAGAGGGGAAGGCAAGAGGCCAGCAGAGGAAGTCAGCAGGCAGAGGACTGACAGACGTGAAAGAAAGAATACAGTGACGAGCTACCCCCCTCCCCACTTCGGGTCTGTCCTTCCCTCCAAGTCTGGCCCCCCACTTAGGCTGAGAACACCGCACCAAACTTCCTCAGATTTTACAATAACTGCAATTATTGTGTTTCTAATGAACCAGTTCTCCATTTGCCTCCCCGGCTGAGCCCCTCTCTTGGGTCTTTGGTATCAGCACCTGCAGGCCTAGGTCCTCCTGTGTCCCGCAGGTCATCCAGCTGCTGATCCCTTTTCTCCTTCCTTCCCAGCCAGGCCTCCATTCCCAGAATACCAGGCAATGCTCTCCCTCCTCCAGCCTGGTCCCACTATCCCCTCAGCAGAAATAGACACCCTGGTGCCTTGGTCCTCTCTGGACTGCATATAGCTCTGATTTACAGTGGTCTGACTGCACAGTAGAGCAAAAGTTATCTGCACTCAGTAGAAGCCCTGCTTCAGCCTCTGGCTTTGGACCTTTTCCTGGGCTGGCCCTAAGTGAACTTTGTTTTTCAGAGCCCCAAGCAGCCCAGCCCCACAAGAGGGACAAGGCTCAGCTTGATGAAAGGCTAAGCCAGGATGTTGGTGGGTCAGGTGGCTCAGCGCTTAGTGTCTGAGGATATTTCCATCTTTCTATGGGTCTATAAGGATGTAACCACATTGTAAGTTGAGGAACACCTGTGCTGTCTTCTCTCAGGTCCCTGACACCCCCATGCAGGTGCTTTTGGGGTGCCTCCTAAGACCCCTTCTGACCTGGGTCCTACAGACTGGGTCCCTGCCCCCAGCTCTCTCCTCTGTACTCTCACTCCCTGGGTGACAGTGGCTTTTAACACCACATGTGAGCCAAGGCCACAGAAAGGCCATGCCCAGACCTGCACTCGGACCTCTCTATCCAGAAATATACTTCCTGCCCAGACTCTGCTGGGATCACTCTCAAAGCCAGACCCTTCATCTGAAGCCTCACACCTCTCCTGTGCTTCCAATCCCACCCCGCTGCCTAATTCCCACTCTGCTACTCAGGATACAAGCAAATTCCATCAACCAGGGTCCAGCTGCAGCTGTCCACTGACCACCAAATGGGTCCTGGCCCAAGCTGCCAGCCCCTCCCACCCCACCTTTCCCAGCTGTTCACCAGCCATATGGAAGCCAGAGCCAAAGCCTCACACCTCTCCTGTGCTTCCAATCCCACCCCGCTGCCTAATTCCCACTCTGCTACTCAGGATACAAGCAAATTCCATCAACCAGGGTCCAGCTGCAGCTGTCCACTGACCACCAAATGGGTCCTGGCCCAAGCTGCCAGCCTCTCCCACCCCACCTTTCCCAGCTGTTCACCAACCATATGGAAGCCAGAGCCCGCTCTCTGGACCACAAATCGGCAGTGACCAGCTCCCTATACCCTTAATGAAGTCAGGACTCCTGCTAACTGCCCCCGTCGCCTAATGCTTACCTTATGCTGAAGTTCTAGTCACTGGGCACCTCTCAGCTCCTACAGGAAGCAAGTTTTTTCCTGCCTCAGGGCATTTCCCAAGGTGTTCTCTCCCACTGGGACGTGCACCCTCACCCGGACGGACGCACTGATGCCTTCCTCTCATTCTTTACGCCTCAACTGGAGTATGGCTTGTCTCACCCAGGGCAGGCCCCGCACATGCTCTCCAACAGCCACTTGGCTGTTCTCGTCGTACAGGCTATCCGATAGACGCATCTAATTTCCTGTTTGCCTGTCTATGCTCCTTTCTAGAGGCAGGGATCACATGTGTCTTATCCTTGGGGCTCAACACCCATCCCAGGTCCACTTGGAGCAGGGGTTCAGCACATGTTTGTGGGAGGAAAGAAGAAGAAAGAAGATAAACAGAAATGGAGGTGGGAAGAGAAAACAGGGCAGTAGAGGGCAGAGAAGGGATGAAGGGGAAGGGAAGGGAGAGAGACAGGGACAGAGAAAGGGGGTCTCAGCAGGAAGAGCTAGACCTGTGGACACAGAGAAGGAATGGCACAGAGAGGAGGGAGAGGGGAAGGGGTCAAGACACAGAAACAGAGAGAAGAAGGGGTCCTGGGCCAGCTCAAACTGGCCTGGAATTAGGCCAGGGGCCCCGAGCCCTACCGTTGCCATTGGCCAGCTTGGCCAGGGTGACAATGACGAACTCGTTGGTGAGGTTCAGCGGCTTGAGGTGGTGCTGCAGCTCGTACATGCCCAAGCTGAAGTGGTTCTGGGACAGAGCCACCAGAGTGTTGCTGTCCACCTCTGCCTTCTCGAAGCCCTCCGTCTTCAGGGGACAGGAGGCGTGCCACCACAGACCAGGCTGCTGTGAGCCCCACTCCCACCCTCCCGACCCTCTTGGGTTCAGTCTGCTTTGGCACTGTGAGGCAGCCTAGGCCAGGCTCAGCAGAAGCCCAGCTCCTAGGCCAGCAGCGGGGAGCTGGGCCCCCCTACCTCGGGGATATCCCTCATCTCCTTGGAGGCTATGGCCACCAGCCTCTGCACACAGCGTTCCTCTAGCTCGATGATCTGCAGGATGCTGTAGATGTTCACCTTGCGCTGGGTGGAAATCTGGGAACAACCAGGCAGATAGCAGTAAGGGGTGGTGAAGTCCCCCAGTGGTGCGCCACCAGCCCACCTCCTCTCCCTCCCCACTCTCCTCTAGCAACACACCTAGAGAAGGTGACCACCATCCTCCAGTGACCAGATTTCCATTCTTCAACCCTTCCTACTTCCTCCCACTCATCCAGTGGTCCCTGTTGGTCACATCTGTCTTCATTGCACTGTCACTAGTCAGCCAGGCAGATCAGCCAGGCAGGTGTCAGGCAGTCAACACACAAGGTTGTCCACACACTGGCTACTGGGCTGGTTTGAGCTCCCAGTAGGCAGGATCACCCTGCCCTTCCCTCTGCTAAGGAGGACTTGAGACAGGAAATATGCCTCCTGAATGTGAGCAGCACTTAACACCATCTAAGGTGGCATGGTTTAGATTAGATCAAACAGCTGGTTTGTGAGCCTTAAACCATATTTGAACAGCTATATTTGAAAATGACTGATGGTGTGTATGTGTTGTGGATGTGCACATGGGCTTACACGTACACATGTACCTATATTACCTCGAAATCTATATGTTGAAACCCCAAGCTCAAGTCTGGAAATTGGCATTTGGGAGGTATTTAGGATTTAATGAGGTCAGAAGGGCAAGGCCTTAATCTGGAGGGACTGATATCTTTTTGGAGAAACAAGAGTGTTTCTCTCTCTCTCTCTCTCTCTCTCTCTCTCTCTCTCTCTCTCTCTCTCCCCAAGCATAGAGATAAATCCATGAAGATGTGCTAGTGCCAGGGAGCTCTCAGTAAGCCAGGAAGGGCCTTAGCAGAAACCAGATCTGCAGGCACCTTGACCAGGCCCTTCCATACTCCAGAACTGAGAGGAGCACATTTCTGTTGTTTCAGCCAGAGTTTATGGTCCTCTGTTCTGGTAACCTGAGCAGACTGCAACACCAGCTGATCCAGAGTCCAGTCTCCAGTCAGTCCCACCATGTCAGACATACGGAAGCTTTCAAAACCTGCACCCTTGAGTCCAACCGACCCTGGAGGAATGAGCATCTCCAGTGTGCCTCATCTTCACATCTCAGCACTTGGTATTGTCCATAGTGACCATAAAGGTATGTTGAGTGGTATGTGGATACCTAGGCACCTGAAGGTGTCTAGTCTAACAGGAGGTGTGAGGGATAGCATAGACCTACCTCCGGCACCTTCAGGCAGCGGATGAGAGCATTCATCACCGCAGAAGGATGGGTGGTGGCCTTCTCTGTGATTATTACTGAGGCCAAGGTCTTCCGCACGTCCAAACCTGACCCTGTAGTATCTGTCTTCGCTGACTCACTGTCCATGACGTTCAGGAGGTTGGTGACTTGTTGGAAGGTACCTGATATAGAGATGGTGTTGAGTGGCCAAGAGGGACCAGGGGTGCTGAGATGTAGTTGACTTCCTTACCATCATCCTCTGATTCTAGAGGTTCGAAGTCCTCTGTTTCCCCCAACACATCTTCATTCGAGTCAGTGACTGCTTCTGCCATCTCCACCTCAAGCTCCTTTGAGATACATGAGATTTGTGAAATGCTCAGTGTGTAGATCACACACCTGTTTAAACTCTCTCCAGTGTGAGCAACAGTTCACTCTTGCCAGAATAATTAAGGCAAAGATGTCCCATCTTGACTGGGCTATATTAGATTCAATGTTTGTGGAAAGTCTCTCTCTTGAGTAGGTTGTGCTGTTGGCAAAGATGATGGGAACTGACTTCCAGGATCACATCATTCACACGTGATGTAATATCTTAACAGACTGGAGAAAGACATTCTGCTAAACTTGAAAGGTAAGCAGCTGTGATGTAAACTGCCTCTGGACCATGTGGTAAGGTCACAGTCCTGCAACCAATAGGAATTGAGTTCTGCCAACAACCACACACACACACACTGAAGCCCCTGAGCTCCAGAAAGGAACACAGTCAAGCCAGTAACTTGGCTGCAACTTCTAAGACCATGAGGAAAGGATTCAGGCAAACCACACCCGGACCCCACCCACAAGGAAACTGAAGTAATACATGGGTGCTCTTTTAAGCTACTAAAGTCATGATAATTTGTTGTACAGCAGTAGATTAACAAATACCCTTGGTAAAGAAGAGCGCCTTTCCTCATTGTAGATACTGAAAGTGTATCTCTCTTGAACTCAGTCTCCTCACTAACTTAAAGGGCTGTTCAACACCTACAGGTTCTTAAGGGTTGACACACCAGCACAGACATCCAGGTGGAGGATTGAAGCTCCCAGATACTTCTTCCTCTGGCCCCGATTTCTCAACCCTAAGACCCATCCAGGGATTTTCATAATCCTGTGTTTGTTCCCTCCTGAGAATCTTCTCAGTTGCTGCTCTGGGACCTAAATACTGACATTTTCTCAGCATCCTCTAGGTAGAACAGAAATGTACCATGAAGATCTCTGCTCTTTGCCTAATACGCACCAATGAAAAGCTGAACAGCAGGATCCATTGTCCACATGAGATGGTTGAGCTCTTCCATGGTCATCCTCATGAGGAACAGGGCTCCTGGCAGGGCAGGTGGTTTCATTAGAATCATCACGGTTAGATCTCAGACCCTTGGAACTTTGAGATCCAACTGCCTCCCTGAGGCCCTATTAACAAGACCTTTGAAGAGGTCATGTGGTTGGGATCAACGCTCCATATCATGTTGCCATTAAGCATTTGTATACACATAGCTATGTGCTAATGTATGCTGGCCTGTTTGCAAAAGGGAAATGGTGGGAATGAGTGTGATTCACACCAAGTTTCCATGGGGTGGAGGCCAGAGCAGAGAGATGTATCTAAGGTAGCTAGAGAGGAAAGGAAGGGATGACGATGTGGTTATGGGGAAAGGGCACCTCCTTCCTGGCCAATAGGGAGGTGTGTTCTCATGACTGGACAACAGGCCAGGTGAGAGGGTATGTTCCCACTAGCAGAATCTTAGAAAATAAGGAACTGCAAAGACAGAAGAGACTAAGAGCTCTTTTTCCCTAAACCAAACGTGATCCTCAAAGTATCTCTCCTTCACTTGTAGCAAAGAGTGATGGGCAAGATCAATGGTTTGGACAGTGAAAAATAGCTTCAAGGACACCCTTTATGCATTACAGGGCAACAGAGTAAGACCAGAGTCATACTGACCCAAGTTTCCTTGGTTAAAATTCCATTTCAGGTTGGCCCATCTTGCCAAGTAGCCATTCCTACACCTCCCCTTCATCACCTCTAACTTCAGGGAACTCATGACTTCCTGTAGTATCCTGTCCTAGCTTGCCTTCAATTGCTGTGAAAAAACACTCCAACCAATACCAGCTTGGGGAGGAAAGAATTTATTTTGTCTTACATCTCCCAGGTCACAGTTTATCACTGAGAGAACCCAAGGTAGGAGCTCAGGGCCAGAACCTGGAGGCAGAAGCCGAAGCACAGACCATGGAGGACACCTACAGACTTCCTCCCCTGGCTCCTGAGCAACCTGCTTTCTTTTTTGTTGTTGTTTTAACTTTTTAAAAAAATTTATTGGGGCTGGAGAGGTGGCTCAGCAGTTAAGAGCACTGACTGCTCTTGCAGAGGACCTGGGTTTGAGTCCCAGCACCCACATGGCAGCTATGAACTGTCACTAACTCCAGTTCCGGGGGAATCCAAAGCCCTCTTCTGACTTCCGTGGCATTGCACAACATGGGTGCACTCACATGCATGCAGGCAATACACTCATACATATAAAATAAAAATAATAAATAAAATATTTTTAAAACTTTATTGCAAATTTCCATACATGCATATAAGGTGTTTTGATCAAATCCATGCCCACTCTCTCCCTTCCAACGCCTCCCATATCTCCCCATCACCTGGGTCCTCTGCAAGAGCAACCAGTGCTCTTAACTGCTGAGCTACCTCCCCAGGTTTTTTTCTTTTCTTTTTTCTTTTCTTTCTTTCTTCTTTCTTCTTTCTTTTTCTTTCTTTTAAGTGGGACTTTTTGGTGCTCTAACATTACCCCTCGGAAGAGGTAACCCTAAAATCTTTTAGGGATTAGATAAGAGCTCCCAAATACTTTGATCATTTTGGGCCTTTGGAACAGAGTATGTTGCTAAGAGGCCCAAGGACATTTTGACTTTTAGCCAAGAAACTGGCTACTTTTCTTTGG